CAAGACTTACGCATGATTGTTTTGTTTTTTTTTAAATAATTACAAACAAATAGAACATACCGATCTACCGAAACCTGGAGAGTCGCTTGGACAGACTTAGAGAGCAACTTGCTTCTGGGAGAAGATCACCCCTTCAATTCCTCGACGCAGCTGGTCACATTATCAAGTTCAAGTGAGAATGGACAATGTCCCGATTGTGATCGGAAAATGACAAATAACAGAATATATAAGTAACAGACAAATAACAGAAATAAATTCTTTAAAAAAACTTTCTTTTTGTCCTTCAACTACTTCAACTAGAAGATGATGTGATGATATGATGTGATAAATAAATTATCATTTCACTGTGATCAGAAAATGACAAGTAACAGAAATTTATAAATTCTTTTTGTCCTTCAACTACTTCAACTAGAAGAGTCCACTTTTAGATCATAGGGTGCCACTCATTGGTAATCAACAGTCAACAGACCATGACATGTGCCAAGACTGTAGGCGAATTCGTGCACCATTGCGTGTTGGGGAAGGTTTACTACTTAAATGCGATTTACCAGATGCATTTTCCTTTTCATTTATATAATCTCTTTGGTTCGAGACTAACTGAAAAGCACACAACTTATCCGTTTCTTTTTGATAGTGGTGTGACGATTCATCGATATGCATCGATGCATCGATCCCTGAGCCGCCAATACTGTGAATCGATATAAAGTTTTACATTGTCCAATATCCCGATACGATGCGTCAAAAGGGCCACGGTACATCGATGTTTAACTTTGAATGTTGCCGAATCGCGATATCTGTCAAGATAGACCGTTTTTAAAGCAGCACAAACTTCATTCTATTGTGTGACTGCAGTGACAGCATTCAGCAACATGCAGATATTAAATATGCTTTTGATCTATGTTTTATGTGTTTTTTATTTTGTACTTGTTTTTTTTTTCAACTTTTTTCAAATTAAAGTTTCTTTCATTTAAACATTGTTTTTGTTTTGGTCTTAAGGTGGTTTATAGTTTATAGGTGTTAGAATGAAAGGTTTTAGTATTGTGATACGTATCGTATCGCCACCCGTATCGTATCGCCACCCTTATGTCGGGATTCGTATCGTATCGCAGCTTCAGTGCACACTATATCGTCGTGACTAAAACTTCAGTACCGTGATGTATTGCATCGCAGGTGGTATGCCAATACCAGCACAACTTTTTCACAGTATATATTAACTAAACAACAGTTGAAATTAACATTTATTATAAACTGTTGAAACCAACAAGAAACAACGCATTTTTAGGGGAGAGTCGGCGTGACGACAGACTTGTTTGTAAACATAGCGGACAAGTGAGTTTAACTCTGCGCATGGCTGTAGGGCATCCAGCACAGCTGGGAGCTATGACTGGTGGCAGTGGTAGTATAGGGACTTCTGCAAAAGGGGCTGCCGCTGTGAGGAGCTTGTGATCACCACATGCAACCAAACCACCGTCGACCACACGGAAGAAACAAGATAAAGAGATCTTAGAAGGTGCAGCAAAATGTTGGAGTTATGTAATGATGCTGAAGCTGTCAAACCATCTGTGAGGTTCTCAGCTGGCCGTGTAGGATATTTGAGTGTCACGAACCATCTCTTGATTGTCAAAGAGTATTGATACACACGAACGTGGTCAATTAACTGAGATTTTAAGTCAGTGTTCCACAGTAAACTATCATGATATAGGTAAGTATACATGCAGACATCATCTATATGAACAAGCGGTCCTATCTCTGATTTGAATAAAAAACACACATATATATCCAGTATACAATACGGTTCTTCTCAACCGCCTCTTTCTGTTTCCACCAATAACGGCCACTAATTCGAAAGGCAAAATATTAAGTGTCTTTGTTCCTTAATATTTATGAGCAAAACGCCATGCAATAAGTGTACACTAAGACACAAATGACTAAATCTCCAGCCTAATCTTTGAAGGGCACTTAGAAGGGGAATGCACAGGATAAGCAAAATTTATGGATGTCAACTTCTTCATTGTGGCCCGGAGAGCGGAAGGTCGCGGGTTCGATTCCAGACCGCGTCATACCAAAAAACGTTAACATATGGTACTTGTTGGTCCCTGCCTGGCGCTCGACATAAATGGGTACAAGGACTGGTCGGCTCAGAGTCAGTATAATGTGTCTAAGTGGGGTATTCCTGCTTCACTGCGGCATGGTATCTCAGTGGGCTAGCACTACAAAACCAGCTTCAGTCTGGGCTAGTACATACACACACGCATGCACGTCGTCATGTGAGCGAAATATTCTCAAGCACGACGTTAAATTCAATTTCACCTCACCTCACCTTCATTGTGAATAACACGACGTTTTGGGGGTGTATAAAGAAGTTGACATCCATAAATTTTGCTTTTCTTAAATCTCCAACCTGTTCGGTCGCTACGTACGACCAGCTAACACCGGAACGAAGTTTACTCTGTAGTCTCAGCAGTGAGACATGCTGTACTTACACCACGAACATCTTGTAGGAACGAATTACAACTATACATAGCGAAATTAAGTTTGCATGATAGATTACGAAAGCATATGCATGTTTAGCGAGATATAAATACATGAACATATGATTGTGTCATTGTGACACGAGCATAGTATATGTTCACACTGGTATAGGTTAATTAAAAAGATCCGATATACGATAAAAATATGTCTTGTACCACCAAGGAAGGAAAAAACACCAAACAAGCGGATCTGATGAACTAAAGGCATTGTCCTCAATATTTCAGCCTAAGAAGCCAATGGATAGAAATACGCCATCTTGCATCAGTAAGGAGGGAGTCAGGGGATAGAAATACGCCATCTTGCATCAGTAAGGAGGGAGTCAGGGGATAGAAATACGCCATCTTGCATCAGTAAGGAGGGAGTCAGGGGATAGAAATACGCCATCTTGCATCAGTAAGGAGGGAGTCAGGGGATAGAAATACGCCATCTTGCATCAGTAAGGAGGGAGTCAGGGGATAGAAATACGCCATCTTGCATCAGTAAGGAGGGAGTCAGGTGACAGAAATACGCCATCTTGCATCAGTAAGGAGGGAGTCAGGGGATAGAAATACGCCATCTTGCATCAGTAAGGAGGGAGTCAGGTGACAGAAATACGCCATATTGCATCAGTAAGGAGGGAGTCAGGGGGAAGCATAGACTAACAACTAGTCTCTGAAATGAACATATTTTACTGAAAAAAGTTCATAGTAAAATAACTAAATATATAAACTCTGTCAAAAAAGAAACGCAACCCCTGTCCTCAGATATGAAAAATTCGTTTGAATGAAGTTATTGCTTCCAAACTAAATTTTATTCGAATGTATTGAAATGATACACGTAATTAATGAAGATTACCATCCAAACAACTGCATTTGTACGCATAAGTGTATTTTATTGCTTATTCCGTCACAACGCATGAAATGACCCTCATGGTGACTTCGCACAAAAAAAACACATGCAAATCATGAAAAAGGCAGTTAATGTAGGGGTGTATAAAAGCCCATGTGCTTCCGTATTATATTCATTCATTTGTCGCCGAAAAGCTGTGTTAAAAATGCCACGATTGAGTGCTGCCGACCGAAATATCGCCATTGGTCGTGTTCAAGCCGGAGAAAGTTTTGGAACTGTTGCACGGCACCTAAATGTTCACAAAACAACGATATCCCGACTTTGGAGCCGCTACAACAACTTCAATTTGACCAACGATCGCCCGAGAAGTGGAAGGCCAAGAATCACGACCCCCCTTCAAGATCGGTACATCCGGGTCCACCACCTGCGTAATCGGCATGCCCTACCAACCGTGACTGCCACACAAATACCAGGTTTGAGGAGAGTGTCAGCTCAAACGATTAGGAACCGTCTGAAAGAAGCGGGTTTACGTGCCTGTAGACCAGTTGTTGGACCTGTACTACGCCCCCTACATCGACGCCGACGACTCAGGTGGTGCAACAACGTAAGGATACGGACTTTACAAAACTGGAGGCGAATCTGGTTTTCTGATGAATCACGTTTTCTTTGCAACGTCACGACGGAAGACAGCGTCTGTATAGGAGACGTCATAAACGTTTTGCGCCCATCTGCGTCCGACAGGTGGACAGATTTGGCGGAGAAAGCGTCATGGTTTGGGGAACCATCTCATACAACCAGAAATCAGACTTGGTGATCGTTCCAGGGAACCTGACAGCCCAACGTTACATCAACCACGTGTTAGAGCTTCACCTTCTCCCGATTATTGACCAACAGACACAGATTTTTCAACGGGACAACGCCCGGCCTCATACTGCACGTGCAACAATGAACTTTCTGCAGAATTCCAACGTCAATGTCTTGCCATGACCCTGTAAATCACCAGACCTCAACCCTATTGAACACCTGTGGGATACTCTGGATCGACGCGTACGTCAACGTCAGCCGCCGCCACAGACGCTGCAACAGCTCGCCGTTGCACTGCAGGAGGAGTGGAGAGCCATTCCCCAGGAAAGAATCCGGCGTCTTATCCGTTCTTGTCCAAGGAGATGCCGTGCAGTGATTGCAGCGCGTGGTGCTCATACGAGATACTGAGAAAGACGCCCCCCTGGTGACAAACTGGTGTCTGTGAGATGACTTTTGAAATGACAATTTTAAACATGCCCATCTGGGTTATTATTCTGCCAAATTTCAGACTTCTGTCTTAAATAATAAAAATGCCGTGTCGTCCTAAAACTTCAGATCAAAATCTCTAAAATACAGGGGTTGCGTTTCTTTTTTGACAGAGTTTATAATGAAAAGGAGCCCTGAGACTTTCTTCATATTCAGAAATCTAGAAGAATCTGAAGCTGAGGAAATCTAGACTTGCCACATTTTCTAGACTTGTGTGGGCTTTCTTGGATATATTTGCTTCAGGGTCTGTACGAAAGACTAGGTGAAGCACTAAACTAGCGCCACTCGGGTCTAATGAACTAAGGGCATATGACACACGATAAAAAATCGAAAAAGTTCGCCGTTTATACCTTCATTTTGCCACTCACTGCCTTTTTCTGAGGAGGAACACCATGCCTTTTTCTCAACTGTAAAGAAACATTTGCCCTTTGGCCATTAAATCAATCTTGTTTCGTGCCTTTGTGTGAACTTGCTGAGGTGTGGGGGCTTGTAGACAGGAGGTCGAAGGTGAATGGATGGAAGGGATGTCGCACACGTCGCTGTAGATGGTCAACTTGTGATAACTTTCATATATACTCAGCGTTATTATTCAGGGGTCACGCAGATAATAAGAGATAAAAGGTTACAATATCGTAGCATATTTAATTTCGTTGTCCATTTTCGTTTCGTAAAAGCATGCAATTAGTTATCGATAGCATCCGATCAGATCGTAAAAACAATAAGTCAGTTAGTTATACCATCCAGTTCGTAAAAGCATGAAGCATCCATTTAGTGTGACATGGGCATCCGTAACATGTTCTTTAACTGTTAAACACGATATCAACATTCTCCGGCCTACTACTATTCCCGCTGGTTGGTATTTGTCTTCATATCTGACGTTCTAAAACACTGGTTGAGCAGATCTGCAAATTCAAGTACACAAAACACACACACACACACACACACACACACACACACGCACGCACGCACGCACGCACACACACACACACACACACACACACACACACACACACACACACACACACACCACCACCACCACCACCACATATTAATAGCGAGACCGACAGTTAGTGCTGATACTTGAGTTAAGATTGTAACTCTTCCATGCAGTGTCTAATTACTATGTCTCTAAATACGGCAGGTCCGGAGATATAGGTAATACTGTAATTTGGGCCCCCATTAACACCCAAATATAGTTCAAGGGGAAGTCAATGTCACCAAGGGCATCAGTTCAGGAGCTCAAAGAGTTCCAAGCTCAAGGGCAAGTCAATGTCACCAAGGGCATCAGTTCAGGAGCTCAAAGAGCTCCAAGTTCAAGGGGACCCCAGTGTCACCAAGGGCATCAGTTCAGGAGTTCAAAGAGTTCCAAGTTCAAGGGGACCTCAGTGTCACCAAGGGCATCAGTTCAGGAGCTCAAAGAGTTCCAAGCTCAAGGGGAAGTCAGTGTCACCAAGGGCATCAGTTCAAGGGCTCAAAGAGCTCCAAGCTCAAGGGGAAGTCAGTGTCACCAAGGGCATCAGTTCAGGAACTCAAAGAGTTCCAAGCTCAAGGGGAAGTCAATGTCACCAAGGGCATCAGTTCAGGAGCTCAAAGAGCTCCAAGTTCAAGGGGACTCCAGTGTCACCAAGAGCATCAGTTCAGGAGCTCAAAGAGTTCCAAGTTCAAAGAGACCTCAGTGTCACCAAGGGCATCAGTTCAGGAGCTCAAAGAGTTCCAAGCTCAAGGGGAAGTCAGTGTCACCAAGGGCATCAGTTCAGGGGCTCAAAGAGTTCCAAGCTCAAGGGGAAGTCAGTGTCACCAAGGGCATCAGTTCAGGGGCTCAAAGACAACATCTCCAAACAACTACGTAGGTTTACTTCATAAATGCTGGCGGTTCGGTAGCCACGTGGTTAAAGCGTCGCTCGTCATACCGGAGACCCGGGTTCGATTCACCCTTTGGGTAAAATGTGTAAAGCCAATTCTTGGTGTCACCAGACGTGATATTGCTGGAATATAGCTAAAGCGGCTTAAATCCTTACTTACTCACAACTTAACCGTGAAATTTTGAATACTACAATCACGTGTTAAATAGTGCATTTACACTTCACAGTTTAAAGATACCAATGGTTAGTCCACCAGAATAACTTTGCAGACAGTTAGCATGAATGAAAAAGAAAATGTCAGAAGAACCAAAAACCCAACCAAAAACCATGGTGCCATCTGTGCTTGTTAACAACTGCGTGACTATAAGTTAATATATTGAGTAAATCGTGAGATACACGGATACCCAAATACCTCAAGTGCTTCGATTTTTCCACTCGATTTCCTTTTGTTGAATACTGAAGGGAATTTGCGCAACAGCTGTAAACAAGACGTATCCTTCAGGAATTAGAACTCAGAGGCACTCTCAGCGCTTCGATAGTCGTAAGTGCCATGCATGTAGCAACCCACTATGTAATAACAACGCACTATGTAATACAATTTTCAGAGTCCAAAAACATTTTGGACTTAGGCGATTTTATTACATAACGGGTTATTACAAACTGCGTTACACCAGTAGCAACCCACTATGTAATAACGACGCACTATGTAATAAAATTTTCAGAGTCCAAAAACATTTCGGACTTAGGCGATTTTATTACAAAGCGAGTTGGTACTTTTGCCTAAGGCTGGAAAATGAGTGAAAATCAAAGTTGAAGATATTCCTTCCAGTGAGGACAATATGTGTTCTACACCCTTAATTAAGTGTAAACTTCAGCTTAAACCCGTTCCATCATATGAACTGTTAATATTTCGGAGTTTTCTGATGGTTTAGTACAAACTGCGTTGGTATTACATACCGGGTTGAGTAGCGAAATGTAATAAGATTTTGCACATCTTAACGCACTATGTAATAACATTTTCAGAGTCCAAAATCATTTCGGACTTAGGCGATTTTATTACAAAGCGAGTTGGTACTTTTGCCTAAGGCTGGAAAATGACTGAAAATCAAAGTTGAAGATATTCCTTCCGGTGAGGACAATATGTGTTCTACACCCTTAATTAAGTGTAAACTTCAGCTTAAACCCGTTCCATCATATGAACTGTTAATATTTCGGAGTTTTCTGATGGTTTATTACAAACCGCGTTGGTAATACATACCGGGTTGAGTAGCGAAATGTAATAAGATTTTGCACATCTTAACGCATTATGTAATAAAACTTACAAAGTGCCAAACGTCACCCTTAAGAAGATATTCCTTCAGGTGTTTTCTGATAGTCAATTGGTGGGAGCGAGCGCACTTGCCGCCCCGCCAATAAAAAGACCATACCGTACATAAAAGTGGTGTTTATTTTTCTTTGTGGGGGTTGTTACGCCGCATAGAGCTTACGCCGTATAGAGCTTACGTGTAAGCTGTATTCGGTGGTTGACAACGTATAGAGCTTACGGTGAGCTATATTCGTTGGTTGAAAACGCATACCAGAACGGCATGCAGGGTTCACGTAACACCTAATGACGTCGTAAATGACGTCAAAGTGTATGTCATTTCAGCATAATCAGTCATTTTCAAGTAAAGAAACATACCATATAATGTCATAAAGGGAGAAAGGGACAGCCAGGTGTTCGAGAAGCACGTTCACAGACAAAGTTATTTATTCATTAACCTGTACTGTGCCGTCTCCATCTGTTCTCGAAAACCTGGCTGTCCCTTTCTCTGCACTTCTCCCTCGTAACAAACAGTGAACTGTGTCAATATTTTAATGATAGTTTGTTAAACAACTTTATTATTTTTAGGACAAAAATTCTGCAAAAACCTCACAGAGTGGGTATGATGTTTTGATTATGATCAGCGTTTCATTGAGTATTTTATGTTTATTAGTTTTCGAGTTAGATTGCAATTCATCGGTCCGTTTTTGAGCCAAACGGACTATACCAAAGACCACCGCGACTACAACCACCACTACAACATCCACTTCCATTTCGACTACCACTTCGACTACCACTACGACTATGTACCAGCTTATCGTAAGGCTCTCAGTATATTTCGCTGTTCAGGCCATCAGTTAATGATAGAGTCTGGAAGAAAATCTGGTCTGACAAGAAATTCTAGATTATGTCCATTTTGTGTTATACCTGTAATTGAGACAGAATATCACATATGTTTGGAATGTCCTTTTTACTATAGTCTCAGACGTACAATTTTGCCTGAGTTCTATTGTACTCATCCTTATTATGATAAACTGGTATTACTTTGAACATCACACGATTTAGGTATTTTAATTCGTTTAGCGAAGTTTCTGTTCCTTGCATTCAAACAACGTAACAATTACCTTAACAAAACTTGTACAACCCATTAAGTGTATGTTTATTGACCTTGTACAGTGTTATGACGCTCCAGATTTCCACTTTCATGATATGACTCATGTAACTGTATAATGGGCCTGTGGCCCCTTAATGGAATAAACCAATTATTACTAGACCGATTACGACGAACGATTACGACTACCGCTACGACAACTACGACGACGACAACTACAACTACCACTACTGCTACTATTACTACGACGACGACCACCAGCCAACACCACCAGCACTACTGTTGCCACTGCTGCAACTTCTACTGCTACAGCTACTGCTGTTGCTGCTACTGCTCTACTACTGTTAAGGCTACTACGTCTACTACTGTTACTGCCATTATATATTCTTTTACTACTGCTACGATACTGTTCACCCACGATGTGAACTCTATACGTTATTTAAAATATGTATGCATATATCCAACGTATAGAGCTTAAGTAAATTGTACAGTGTGTCCAAAAATATGTCCCGCTAATAAAGAAAAATATTGTAATAGTTATTAGGAATTAAATGTATCATGTCCTATATATCAGTTTGAAGCTGAAAGGTTTTGTGTAAAGTATGCCAAAAAGTGATGTGACGTTATCGTAACGTCTTATGACGTCATTTATGACATTATATGGTATGTTTCTTTACTTGAAAATGACTGATTATGCTGAAATGACATACACTTTGACGTCATTTACGACGTCATTAGGTGTTACGTGAACCCTGCATGCCGTTCTGGTATGCGTTTTCAACCAACGAATATAGCTCACCGTAAGCTCTATACGTTGTCAACCACCGAATACAGCTTACACGTAAGCTCTATACGGCGTAAGCTCTATGCGGCGTAACAACGCCCACAAAGAAAAATAAACACCACTTTTATGTACGGTATGGTCTTTTTATTGGCGGGGCGGCAAGTGCGCTCGCTCCCACCAATTAACTATCAGAAAACACCTGAAGGAATATCTTCTTAAGGGTGACGTTTGGCACTTTGTAAGTTTTATTACATAATGCGTTAAGATGCGCAAAATCTTATTACATTTCGCTACTCAACCCGGTATGTAATACCAACGCGGTTTGTAATAAACCATCAGAAAACTCCGAAATATTAACAGTTCATATGATGGAACGGGTTTAAGCTGAAGTTTACACTTAATTAAGGGTGTAGAACACATATTGTCCTCATCGGAAGGAACATCTTCAACTTTGATTTTCAGTCATTTTTCAGCCTTATAGGCAAATGTACCAACTCGCTTTGTAATAAAATCGCCTAAGTCCGAAATGTTTTTTGGACTCTGAAAATTTTATTATATAGTGCGTTGTTATTACATGGTGGGTTGCTACTGGTGTAACGCAGTTTGTAATAACCCGATATGTAATAAAATCGCCTAAGTCCGAAATGTTTTTGGACTTAGAAAATTTTATTACATAGTGCGTTGTTATTACATAGTGCGTTGCTACAAGTCATTAACGTTAACTTACGACTATCTCAGCGCTAAGAGAGCTTCGACTGCTGACTGCCGACTGAGTTTGGTTTTACGCCGCTTTTAGCAATATTCCAGCAACATCACGGCGGGGGGACACCGGAAATGGGCTTCACACATTGTGCCCATGTGGGGATTCGAACCCGGGTCTTCGGCGTGACGAGCCAACGCTCTAACCATTAGGCTACCCCACCGCCCAGAGAGCTTCGAAAATCTAGGCCAATAGTATGATATGTTTTCATCTTACCCTTGATCGTACTCAGAGTAGTCGCTCACTATAGTCCGTTTGGCACAAAAGCGGACCGATGAATTGCAATCTAACTCGAAAACTAATAAACAGAAAATACTCAATGAAACGCTGATCATAATCAAAACATCAGACCAACTCTGCGAGTTTTTTGCAGAATTTATGTCCTAAAAATAAAAAAGTTGTTTAACTAACTATCATTAAAATATTGAAAAAGTTCACTATTTGTTACGAGGGAGGAGTGCAGGGAAAGGGACAGCCAGGTGTTAGAGAAGCACGTGCAGAGAATCAATACAGGGACTTAATTAAGTCAAATGTTTATATTTTCCTTACCGGCAGTAGAACCTCTTTGCTTGGCATGGGTTGATCTAAACCAAAACAAAATTGTAGATTAGCACACCATATCGCATTTCTATATCTCTTTGAAAGATATTGATTATAGTGTGTGGCAAAGGAAATATTCCGTTTCGAAAAGATAATTTGTAATTCTAAACAAACAGCGAAAAGACATTATCGACCATATACCTAACACAGTAATATTTGGTATTGACGGGTATCGGATTGAGGGGTGCTGGGTTGTTCGGGTAGTGGGGTGGACGAGTGGCTGTTTGTGGGTGGTTGGGCGGAGGGGTGGCGGGGTCTTGGTAGTTGTGGTTTGGTAGATGCAGGGGGAAGATGGATGGAAGTGTGTGTTGATGGGTGGTAGAGTGGAGAGGTTGTTGGTTGCTGAACAGTTCACAGTTTTTACAAATGGACGCAATCATGCGGAAAGGGGCATTTTCTTATCACTACGTAGTCATTCTAAGCGTCAAGATGGGTAAAGGTCAGGGTCACGGTAATGTTAAGGATCAGTGTTAGGGTAATGGTAAGGGTCAAGGGAAGGGTAAAACTCGGGTTTAAGACTGAAACTAATTGTAGGATTTAAGTCTGATTGGACGCAAACATATAAATATTACGAACAGAATTGAACTACAATGACCTGGCGTGTCTCCCCAGGTCATCCCACTGAACGCCTCAGCAATGGAGGCTGATAGTTCTGTCTCTGATGTGTCCTGGAAATGTACTCCCGGTTTGCCCTTGGGGTCTGGTCGCCTGCTTGGCTGGATCGCCGCTGGTTTTCTTGGTTGGGGTGCAACTGATTGTGGCGCAACAGGCTTGGTCGGGGAGGACGGTGGGACGGCTTTGAAAGGCCTAGAAACAGCAGTTGTCTTGGAGAGCAGAGATGGGAGGGGCGGCTCCTTCGAGTGGGGGGTTACTGGAGCTGGAACCAGACATTCGTGGGTGAAGAACAATCACAAGTAAAAGACACCCACAATCGTGGGGATTCTGGTGGGAACTGATCCCCAGCTGATTTTAAGAGGCGACTAAATCGGTGGTGTGGACAGAATCTACTACGTGCAATTGTACCATATGAGACCGTTCATAAGTTATGGCAAGGGAGGGGGTGGGAGGCAAATTTTGCACTTATTATTTTTTTAAAAGCATGCTTCAAAATTATGGTGGGGATTGATTTTGTACATGACATGCAGGGTGGTTTTCTTACTTTGTACATAAATTTAAGGGGAGGTGTCATTCACATTGTACATGCTTCTCCATAAACATCATCATCACACCCCCTAGCCATAAATTATGAACGGTCCCTATCGGTCAGTTGCTCACTGGATTGCCTGGTCGACCGCCATATAGCTCAAACGTCGCATTGAGTCCTGCTCAGGTAACCTTGGCAACTACGTTAGGGGGTACGGTTGCACACTTTTAGCAAGATTACACGTCACTACCGGCTATTACGACTACCGTGGGTTAGGAGGGTATGTTTAGCCCGTATTCGCGTACTAAAACGTATTATCTCTTGTGTACTTTTTAAAAGTAAGATGATTACATACATATAAAGAATGACGTGACATCATACGTCTACGTGTAATGACTTTGCCAAATATGTCCGAGGTTTGAAATTGTAGATTAATAATACAATACTGATGACAATTATTTATTAAATAATTTTATGTTTTCTATATTGTGTATTCTGGTGAGCGAGTGAGCGAGTTAGTGAGTAAGTGGGTGGGTTTGGACGAGTGAGTGAGTGAGTCAAAAATCAAGACCATATCAGCCTGTACTTACCTGACCGCAAGGGTTTAGGGGCTTCTGGAGTATGCGCCCCTGGGGCCACCCCATGGGTCGACTTAAGTCTCGGGGGCACAGGAGGAGGAGGACCATCCGGAGAGGAAGAAGACTTCGGTTCACTGAGCTCCAAGAACTGGACTTGTGTTGTCCGCAGAAAGTCCACATAGAGCGTTCCTTCTACAAAATCAGGCGTAACTGCGCTTTCTGAGAAATTCTGGAGTACGAACAACTGATAGTCATCACTGTCCATATACTCCGGAGTTTGGACTTCGATCTCGCTGATCTCCGGGTTGTCCAGGGGGATGACCACCGCGCTCCTCCGACAGAATTTCGAATTGGGGTCCCCCGTCATGCCTTTGTAATGGCCGAACAAAACTGGAGCGGTGTCCTTGACCCCTGTCAACAACATTTCCCCACTGTAGGACTGGAGGTTATCAATGGCCTCTTTAATGTCCGTTGACATGATCTCCTGGACGCCAGAATCGATGAACTTGACGCACTGGGGCAGTTTGTAGGTATCTACCACATTTTTAATCGTCTGCTCAGTGTCGTCTGCCTGAACCTGAAACACTCCTTTGACGCTCTTCGGGAGGATGACATCGTCGCCATTACGTGCACACCTGACGGAATTCAGGCCATGAGTCTTGGACCGTCGGACAGCTTTGAGTTCTAAAGAATCTCCCACACTGAGGGTCTGGGGGGTCCCCGAGGGTTCCTTGAAACTCACCTGGGTTAGTACCCGGACGTGGCGAGGGAAATAGTTGATGAGCTCCTCGACTGACTTATATCTGTGATGGACTCCGTGCAGTGGTTGAACCTTTACCTTTCCGTTATATTGGTACGGGAGCCCAATCTCTTCACCATGTCGCTCATAGCTGCAATATAGTAAAATAAAAACCAGTGAAAAGTATATGCGGTGTTTCTTTTCGTGTCTAGTGAAAAATAGATGTGAAAATTATATGAATGGATCCCTGAAACCCTATCGGTAGCACCCACTATTCACACAATTTCCCTAAACTACTATTCATTCATTCATTCAATCTTTTATTAAATCATTCACTCATTCATTCGTGCATTTTCTAAGTTCAGGGTTAATACCAAGTATCAAATTTTAAAATCGTGAAGTGATTATTTACAGGGAAGAAGATGAAATTGAAGTCAATCATTATTACGTCAATTAAAGACAATTTAATTATGTCCTTTCTTTATATTTTTTTTCTATTGTGGTGTGTAAATGGAAATACCGGTGTCCACACTTTGTGGGTTTATACAGTATCCACACCGATTTCTACGTTCATAAACGAAAAAAATATAAAAGTCCATTCTTACATAAAAATGTCAATAATGATAACTTCACGGACTGCTTATTACCGTACTTCCTCGACTAAACGCCGGGATGTGTTCTATGAAAGTAATTATTATCATTATAACCTTTGCTATGGAACGCCGGAGTAAAGATTGTCAGCAGGAAATATACGCCAGCGCGTTTCGCAAAGGAAGTACGGTAAAATGATGAACACGAAAGTAGAAAACGATACATGGCATAGTAACTCAACAGACGCAGGCGTGGACTAAAAGGTTCTTTAATCACCCAGTGCCTCACTTGCTGTTTGTATCTGTCGCGGTAACATATAAGTTCAGTATGTGACATAAATAGGGCAGCTGTTAACATGTTAGGAAGTACACTTTTGAAGTAAAAATACAAACAGGCCGGAAAAGGTGGTATTTCCATACAGGGAAACATTTTCAGAGCACTTCTGGGGGAAATACTATATTTTCATTTAATTTTGTTTCACATACGTTTTCAATTTTCAATTTTTCAAATTATATCTGATAAATATGCGCGGATCCATCGCCACTACAGTTATGTCTGGTGTTCCTGTGGCGGTTTAAATAGCTGGGTCTCGATCCACAAAGCGTTCTTAGAGCTACGACATTCGTAAGCCTATGATAAAACGCTAATTCGTAACGTTACGAACGCTTTGTGGATCGTGAGTGAGTGAGTTTAGTTTTACGCCGTACTCAGCAACATTCCAGCTATATGGTGGCGGTCTGTAAATAATCCAGTCTGGACCAGACAATTAGCATTGATCAGCGCAACCGGAAACCGATGACATGTGTCAACCAAGTCAGCGAGTCTGACCATCCGATCCTGTTCGTCGCCTCTTACGACAAGCATGGGTTACTGAAGGTTCATTCTAACCCGGACCTTCACGGGTATTGTGGATCGTGACCCTGTACAGACATGGACGACAGAATCCACGTAAGAAGTGCGTGGATATTGTTGTACGCCGCTTATACATTCAACAATATCACGGCGGGGGACGCCAGAAATGGGCTTTACCTAGTGTACCCATGTGGGGATTCAAACCCGGGTGTTCGGCGTGATGAGCGAACGTTTTACCCTCTAGGCTAACCCACCACCATATTAACAACGAACCTATGCTTTCCTAAGAGTCGACTAAATGGATCGGATGGTCGGGCTCTGTGACGTAGTCATGGGTTGGTGTTGCTCATTGCATCAATCACATATTTGGGCAGATCCAGACTCAAATATTTACGGATCGTCGACAGTGGAACGTTGCTGAACGCAGCGTTGACAGCATTAACGAAACGTACATCAATTGTTCGTACAGGTACTTCTGTACTAAAGGGGTTTCCTTGTATTAATAAGATTTTGATTAAAATTATCGTATCCTATTGACGGCACAAGCAAGCTCCCAACGCCATTATGGTCAGACCCAGGGACTAACATACTGGTAGGGCGGAAACTGACCAGTGTTGGACTATGACCCGGCTTGTCAAAGCGATCTTAGTACTATTTTGGTCAGTGTCACAGTATGGGAACTGTGGTCGTTTTTTGTTTCTATTTTTTAAGGGACGGAGCACATCTGTGTAACGTTTACTGGTGATGTCAAGATCGCTGTGTGTATTGGTGCATCGTGATTACCTCAAAGATAACGGGATCGGGTGGTCAGGCTCACTGACTTGGTTGACACATGACATCAGATCCCAGTTGTGCAGACCGATGCTCATGCTGTTAAACACGGGATTATCTGGTCCGGACTCGATTATTTACAGACCGCCGTCATATAGCTGGAATATTGCTGAGTGCAGCGTTAAACTAAACTCACTCATTTTAGCAAAACTGGTTTTCATTTTCGAGTCCTTTTTGTCTTTTGTGATGTAATGTTGCCAGTATTTACAAATAGTCTTGAAGGACTATTGTAATGGTGATTACACAGGTTTTAGGGTCATGGAATATTTCTTTTTGCTGTTTAATGCGCAATTACCATATTCCAGCAAGACAATCTAAATCTCCGATCTAGGCTGGGGGCATACGATTACACGCAGTGAACAAAGTCACAATGCCATGTAGAAAGTGGTCAAATGTAACATATGTTACATTTAGGAAGACACTTTCTTAGTAAAAGTACTGATTCTCGTACTGATCCTAGTACTGATTCTAGTACTTTTTCAGTCCCATCCGGGATTCGAACCAACAGCCTCAGAGTCAGGTTAATCCCCAGCACACAGTCTGTACTTAAGAGAGAAAGCATAATCCCAAATATAGCATTTGCTAAAGTCACCGAATCACACCACCCGTTACGCGCGGTAGCCTGATGGTCAAAGGGTTCGCTGGTCACGTCGAAGACCCGGGTTCGATTCTCAACGAAGGTACAGTGTGTGAAGTCTACGTAAACAAGTTACGTAAACCCGCTACATTGACCCTAAACGTACTGAAAGGCACCACGCTCCGGCGCAGTGATGACTTAGCATAACATAGTACTATGCTGGCTGGCCGCATGGAACTCTGGGTAGGAGAGTGGAAAGGCGCCACACTACTGTAGTTGGTGTTGAAAGTGTTGTCCGTCCCCTAACGTGGTCAGTCGTACTTAGATCTGTAGCCTACTTAAGGAATCTGAGCATCAGAGAACTACTCATAGACGGATGACATCAACTTTTCCCTTGTCAACCTCCACTTTAACCCGAGGGGCGTTGGTGTAGCCTAGGGTTGGCTCGTGGTTATGAAAAATTAATTAATATTTAATGTTTAAAAAAGTGTCAAGGTTTGAAACTGTAGCTTATAAATATAAGCCTCCACATCAAATTACAAAATCGGCCCCATCAGCCCATACCCACCCCACCCAGTATCGAATACAAGTGGTAAATGTTAGGTCCCAAACTTGAAGGGGCACAGTGCTCCTTAAGCTGGGCTCCGTCTCGCATTTCGCAAAAAAACGCAAGGGAGTCGGGAACCAGCTTACAGTGCTCCTATCTTCTAACCGTGACGGTCGCGTGATGCGGGTGCGTTTCTCTGTCGTGCAAACACTTAGTATTTTGGATATACGAATATGAATTATGGATGTATGATTCATGAACGTATGGGTAAACGCTTCAGCCAGGCGGTAATTTATCATGCTCGCATACATCTATTTACTATGGACCTACTGAGCTGATTCATATATGACAAATGTTCTTCAAAGGAATATTTTAAGAGCACAGGCGGGTCGCCGTAACACGGAAGTAAACATTCCGTTCCATTGTCCGATCTGTTTCTGGGACACATATCTAAACATGTCGTAATAGTAAGCTACTGTACGGTTGGTGGGTAATGCGATACACTGCATTCAACATGTGAGCGTTCTGGAACGTCTTGAGAAGTATTTACTTAACAAAAAAATAAGTTGTCATTGGCGTGGATGACGAAGTGAATATGTTAGATTTTTACTGCACTTAATAAACACCAGTACATCGTGGTTTACATAGTGATGAACAAATTAAATAGGAATATTTGCATCATCATCGTCTTACAGTTAAACCTCGACAGTTCAGACCCCTGTCTTGACATCCTGCGTGGAAGATTTACTAGTGTCGCGATGGGTGGTGGGTGGCCAAGTGGTTAAAGTGTTCGCCGAAGACCCGGGTTCGCTTCCCCACATGGGTACAATGTGTGAAGCCCATTTCTGGTGTCCCCAACCGTGATATTGCTGGAATATTGCTAAAAGCGGAATACTACAACCACGTGTTAAATAGTTCATTACAGTTTACAGATCACAGTGTGAAGACACCAGTGGTCAGTCCACCAGAATAACCTTGCAGATAGTTATCATGAATTGATTAAAAGCGGCGTAAAACTAAACTCACTCACTCACTACTAGTTTCGCCTTAGATATCTAAATTAATAGTACTTTACTAATCCGGACGATCTAACTAAATCCGTTACCTTCCAGATAATAAAGGTTGTACTATTATTTTTCTTTTAGATTAACCTACCTAGTAATATATCGCGTTATGAATAATCACGATGTCTTACGTTAAACATCCCAAAATGTAATATTTGGAATCAATTCACATCAGAGCTGATTTCAAACAATGTAATAATAAATGATAATAATAATTCATTTTTATAGTGCCTAGTATCAATCTGTCTTGTTGCTCGTTTGACGCTGTTTATTATTAACCCCGGATAACCCAAGCTGCCTGTGAGGCGCTAGAAAGTTATTAGTCTCATGACTTATCCCACCGGGTACCCATTTTCTGCTGGGTTAACAGAGGCCATTTTGAAAAAAAACTCACTTGCCTAAGGTGAAACCACATGTATCACATGTGCTTCGTTGTGGGGCAGGATTGAAGTCCTTGAAAAGGAGTCAAGCTGCCAAACACGGTCACTCATCCAAAGACGCTCCGCACCCAACGTTTCTTAACTCAACTGATTTGTGACCTGAACAGTATGCACATGTCCACACACCACCTCAGTGTAGTATAATTTGTGTATCAACGCTAGGAAAGGATTCATGAAGCATGATACGTTCATCATTTCGCGAACATCTGGTATCATCGTAATCATGACCTACTGGAATCGTAGAATGGACGGTGATGTTAGTAGAAATCTGTCTTGGCGATATGTGTCAGTTTTATCTCTTTTACATATAATAATAATAATAATAAATGTGAACTTATAATGCGCCTTTTCCATGCACAAGGCCCATGCTCAAAGCGCTAACAAAGTGAGTGGATAATAATACATATATACAATAAGGGACTAGTTGCTAGTCATAATGCAGTGAAAACAGATGAGTCTTGAGAAGTCGTTTGAAGGAATAAAAGTCAACTGCTGATTTAATGGTGATAGGGAGAGAGTTCCAGAGTAGAGGGGCAGAGCAGACAAAGGATTTCCTTCCAAAAGTTTGCAGTTTGAACCGAGGCACAGAGAGTAGGTTCAGATTCTGAGAACGGAGCTGTCTTTCTGGAGTGTACGGGGTAAGGAGTTCCTTCAGGTATTCTGGGCCTATGCCATTGAGGCATTTGTAGACAAAACACAATATTTTAAAGTCAATTCTTGATTTAACAGGCAGCCAGTGGAGGTTTTTCATGACAGGTGTTATGTGTGAGCGCTTTGAAGTTCTGCTTATGATTCGGGAGGCTGTATTTTGGACATTTTGCAATTTTGATAGCAGCTTCTGAGAAATACCAAAAGGAGGCTATTGCAGTAATCAATTCTTGATATAACAAGTCCCTGGACCAGACCGTGTGCTGCATCACGACTGATGAGATGGCGTATTCTGCCAATGGCTCGTAGATGAAAGAAGCATATTCTGCAGAGTTGATTTACATGAGTGTCCATCGCCAGGTGTGAGTCAAGTGTAACTCCAAGGTCTTTAACAGAGTCGACAGCTTGTATCTCTGCATCTGCTACCAGAACAGTTTTGGTGGTAATTTGTTTTGCATTTGCCTGGATCCAATAACCATCACCTCAGTTTTGTCATCATTTAACTTTAGCAAGTTGTTTGTCATCCATGACTTAACATCTTTAGTACAGTCTGTTATTTTATGGAGACCAGTGTGAAAGTCCTTGGGAGTTGAGTTTTTCTGAAGTTGAGTGTCATCTGCAAACGAATGATGGGAAATGCCATGTTTGTCAATTACGTCTGCAACATCGGTCGTGTATGCTATGAAAAGAAGCGGACCGAGTACCGATCCCTGGGGTACACCACAGTGGACCAAGGAGGTTTGTGATTTGATATTGTCTAACAGGACAGTCTGACTTCTGCTTTCGAGATAAGATTGTAACCAGATGAGGGGTACCCCATGGATTCCAAATTGGCCCTTGAGTCTTTCCAGAAGGAGTTGGTGGTCGATTGTATCGAAGGCAGCAGAGAGGTCAAGCAAGATAAGAGTAGCTAGTTAGCCTTCATCAACAGCTGTAAGTAAGTCGTTGGAGACTCTGAGGAGGGCTGACTCGGTGCTATGATTTGATCTGTAAGCGGACTGGAATTTATCCAAAAGTGAAAAGGCAGAGAAATGATCCCTGAGTCGAATATTGACTGCTCTCTCAAGTATCTTTGATATAAACTTCAGGTTAGAGACTGGTCGAAAGTTTTTAAGCAAGTTTGGATCTAGGTTATCCTTCTTTAACAGGGGGATGACAGTGGCATGTTTGAAAGAATCTGGGAAGACACCACTTATCAAACTACTGTTCACCATCTTTGTGATAACTGGGAGCAGCAAATCCAGGAATTCTTTTACCAGCGATGTGGGAATCGGGTCCAAGTGACAAGTGGTCGGCTTGGATCCAGAAATGATCTTCTTGATGTCGTTTTCAGAAAATGGATGAAACTCCAATAGTGGTATACCAGAAAACTGTGTATCAGTAGGAGTATCAAACTGGAGCCTAGTACCTTTCAGTGTTGAATGAATTTTGTCAATCTTGGCTCGAAAAAAGTCATTAAAGGAGTCAGGAAGTTCATCAAAAGGTGGAGTTGAGGGTAGGATTGGATCATGCTTTTTCCCAAGAAGGCCATTTATAAATTTATGCATTTTCCTAGGATTATTTTTAATCTCCTCGATAGTGGACAGACAATAGTTCTTCTTAGCATGGGCTATGTGTTTAATCATGCTATTCCTCGCTTGACAATACATCTGACGATGAACTTCTAGTCGTGTCTTACGCCAAAGTCTTTCAGATTTACATATCAGTCAGCTTATCAGTTTTTCAGTATGTTGCCCCTTTGAACTGTATTTCAGTTTAAGGGGCGGTGGGGTAGCCTAATGGTTAAAGCGTTGGCTCGTCACGCCGAAGACCCGGGTTCGATTCCCCACATGGGTACAATGTGTGAAGCCCGTTTCTGGTGTCCCCGCCGTGATGTTGCTGGAATATTGCTAAAAGCGGCGTAAAACCAAACTCAGCCAGTCAGTCAGTATTTCAGTTTAATCTCGATATGAGAGGAAATGCAAGAGCGACGCGAGTTTCTGACACTATTGTGGCTAGTAATGACTACGAGAGTTGTCTGCCGTGTAAATGTCTATCTGATGGACTTCGACTCACACATTTCGAACAAAATGATTCATGCGTTGTCTGATTCTCGATCCAGACGATTAAGTTGACTTTATTGGTTCATTGAATTGAGTTGAACAGTAAACTGCGTTATGACGAACATGCTTATATCGAACTGACGGATATAACGAACGATTTGTCCCGGGCACTTGCTGTACATTTAGTCGAATTGAATATACGAACTTCGGTTATATGGAAGTAGAATTAGCGGTACCTTTGAGTTCGTTATAACCGTTTACTGTAATTCAATTATATTATGGGAAGTCAATTCAATATGGCAGGAACACTCACACCGATGCAGGTCAGATATTCGCGGGATCAGATATTGTAATAATTAACAGATCGCACGCACGGTGATTCCAATTGTGGTGAAACGTCGGGACCGAGATAATTATACCCTTGCATAGCAACCAGGATGTGTGTATGTGTTCACATTGCCAGCTCACTGGTATACCATGCCGCATATTTTAGTTTGTCATTTCACTGCTGAAAAAAAACACTCAGACACATCATACTCTGAGATAAAATTCAAATTCTTTGTTCCCCTATCGGAGGGTCAAAACCATAGATTGCTGCACGTGTGTCACTTTCCTGCTTCCAGGGTGGCATATGATTCCATAGAAAATTGACATACGATGATAAATAATTATGACATTCTATGAAGGATGATATGCATAACTGTCCCAGACAGGGAAGTGACATCACTGTGGCTTATCACTTGTTTGTTTGTCGTTTAACGCCGCACTTTTCCAGCTATATGGCGGCGGTCTGTAAATTATCGAGTCTGGACCAGACAATCCAGTGATCAACAACATGAGCACCAATCTATGCAATTGGGAACCGATGATGTGTGTCAATCAAGTCAGCGAGCCTGACCACCCGATCCCGTTAGCCGTCCAATACGACAAACATGGGTTACTGAAGATCAATGAAGGTCAAAGGTGTAATCCATCCTATTTAATATCTCCTTAGGGATCTTGTAAACCATAGTCACATCATATATACCTTGCACTACTTCCTGAAGTGATTCAGAGCTCTCGACAGTGCACATGTGCCATAGAAGGTGGACTTTGGAACCTACACGGTTAGCGCACATCTGTATACATGGATATCATACATTTTTATACACGCATGCATTATCTATACCCATGCATAACGTAATCTACATTCATGCATAGCATACGTCTATATACATGCGTAAGATACATCTGTATACACGAATAACATACAGATACTTCGGAGTGCGATCGACGGTACTCAGATAACACCTGGGTTGTTATAAGCACTGTGTCGCTTTTTCCTCAATTTTAGGGAAAATGAAACGGCTATTTATAATTACAACAGGTAGGACAGTGGTTTTGCATGACGACAAAACACCATTGCCACCGGACAACACTGAAATATTATGGCCTGACATATTCAGATTTGTGTCCTCTTATCTGAAGGTTTTCCTACAGAATTTGAAACATTTATCCTTTTGACAAAAACCTTGGTTCAGTGACCAGTTGCAGTTCCTTATCGGGGCCTGTATCGCGTGTTCACATTTGCTCATGTGGAACATTGCCATGCCTTTGCTTGTGTTTGTGACAGGTGCCACCGATGGGGCGGGATACGCTCACCTTTCGTGATCACAGAGAGCACATGTGATCTTCACGTGCTCAGATACAGAAACAGTGACCTTCACATCACCAGATACAGTGACCTTCCAATAACCAAATGCAGATACATTGACCTTCACATAACCAGATACGTTGATCATGTGACCTCCACATAACCAGACACAGTGATCACGTGACCTTCACATAACCAGATACAGTGATCATGTGACCTTCACATAACCAGATACAGAGATCATGTGACCTTCACATAACCAGATACAGTGATCATGTGACCTTCACATAACCAGATACAGTGACCATGTGACCTTCACATAACCAGACACAGTGATCATGTGACCTTCATATAACCAGATACAGAGATCATGTGACCTTCACATAACCAGACACAGTGATCATGTGACCTTCACATAACCAGACACAGTGATCATGTGACCTCCACATAACCAGATACAGTGATCATGTGACCTTCACATAACCAGATACAGTGATCATGTGACCTTCACATAACCAGATACAGTGATCATGTGACCTTCACATAACAAGATACGTTGATCATGTGACCTCCACATAACCAGATACAGTGATCATGTGACCTTCACATAACCAGACACAGTGATCATGTGACCTCCACATAACCAGACACGGTGATCATGTGACCTCCACATAACCAGACACAGTGATCATGTGACCTTCACATAACCAGACACAGTGATCATGTGACCTCCACATAACCAGACACAGTGATCTTGTGACCTTCACATAACCAGATACAGTGATCATGTGACCTACATAACCAGATACAGTGATCATGTGACCTCCACATAACCAGACACAGTGATCATGTGACCTCCACATAACCAGACACAGTGATCTTGTGACCTTCACATAACCAGATACAGTGATCATGTGACCTACATAACCAGATACAGTGATCATGTGACCTTCACATAACCAGACACAGTGATCATGTGACCTTCACATAACCAGACACAGTGATCATGTGACCTTCACATAACCAGACACAGTGATCATGTGACCTCCACATAACCAGACACAGCGATCTTGTGACCTTCACATAACCAGATACAGTGATCATGTGACCTACATAACCAGATACAGTGATCATGTGACCTTCACATAACCAGACACAGTGATCTTGTGACCTTCACATAACCAGACACAGAGATCATGTGACCTTCACATAACCAGACACATTTCTATCTCATGATCACCATGTAGGTCTTAACCATTCAAGATATACTATCATGTGTACTATAACTATAGACGGGTGTGAATCCCATTAACCATGCATGACTGTTTCATGCGTATGTGTATGAAACGTATTTCATACATTAAAGCAATCTATTATTTATCTGTAAGTATAAGGTTATATGGTGGTGTGTTTGTATCGCAGGAGGAAGATGTAACAATGTGTAATGGCCTCGCCTCAAACAACATAGGCTTGTCAAATTCAGGGTATTTTTAACAAGAGCTTCGAATGACTCTAAAAAGTGACGCTGTAGAATACTCAAGGTTCTTTAGTCAAACATATCCCTTTCACGCTAATGAAACTGGAGAAGCATCTTTTATCGCTGATTAAAGCGTCAGTAATCAACACGCAGCTAAATTCGGTAATGGTTGAAACCGTCAATGCAATGACAGGCCTTACGACAAAGACAATATGAGGGATCCCAAACTGTGGCCTAAGTGGTAGTCATACACAGAACAAAGACGCACACACCATTAAGTGCAGATCCTCATGACAAGATCGTTATTGTTTCTTGTTTAACAACGCACTCGGCAATATTCCAGCTAAATGGCTGATGTCTGTAGATCAATTACATTTGTGACGTCATACCATTGTCTGCTCGCCCCATTATTTTCAAGGAATGGAGACATAATCGAGTCTAGACCATACAATCCAGTGACCAAAAGAATGAGCATCGATCTACGCAAATGAGATACGATGACATGTGTCAACCAAGTCGGCGAGCCTCTGTTATTTGCCTATTACGACAAGCATGAGTTGCTGAAGACCCGTTCCAACCCGGATCTTCACGGGGGAGACAAGCATGGGTTGCTGAAGACCAGTTCTAACCCGGATCTTCACGGGGGAGACAAGCATGGGTCGCTGAAGACCAGCTCTAGCCCGGATCTTCACGGGGGAGACAAGCATGGGTCGCTGAAGACCAATTCTAGCCCGGATCTTCACAGGGGAGACAAGCATGGGTAGCTGAAGACAATTCTAGCCCGGATCTTCACGGGGGAGACAATCATAGGTCGCTGAAGACCAATTCTAGCCCGGATCTTCACGAGGGAGACAAGCATGGGTAGCGGAAGACCAGGTCTAACCCGGATCCGTCATGACATAAGCATAGGGGCGTGTCTCGCTTAGAAAAAGCCTTAGAAAGACATAAAGGTGTATAGAGCCTACCCTATTACTATGTAATGTCTCGCTTAGAAACAGCCCCTATGCTCTGCACTGCAGTCGCATTTGCATTGTCCTATACTATATAGGGATGCACCTACTTCCTCGTCGATGGAAATGGCATGAATGTGATGGATGCAAACGTGACTGACAAATAGTTGTCAATGACGACCGCGGGGTCCTCCTATGCATCTACTTCCTGGTTGAGTACAGGCTGTTACAACTACGTACCTATTCTGAGCTTCTATTGTGGCATTCTGATCGGCGCCAGCCAAGGTTGTGCTGACAAAAGTGAGCGTTATATCGTCTCGTGTAATAGCTTTCTCGTCTCGTGATATCGCTTTCTCGCCTCCGAATTTTAAAGGTCACATGCAACCAAAATATCAAACATGATTAAACACAATTATCACTTATTCGTGAGATATAATATACATTGCTGGTTATGAAAAAACATATAAACAAAGTTATAAGCCTACAATCGCAAATCAAAAGTGCAATATTGTGTACTTGGGTTTACTTCCCAAGAAACGAAGCAGCCGGGATACCGAACCCAGTCAGAGCGGGTGGGTGTGCACTCAAGCTGGTTCATTTGCAGATGTCCCCACGGCTCATTGTGTGTGTATATATAGAGATGTTGGGTTTTGTAAATACATGCTCATTTTTTGTGTATAACATTTTGCAATCAACAGACATCATAACATGTCATGTGTTCAAGTATCACACCTGCCTGTCTGTGTAATTACATAATGTGACAGAGACCGAACACGGGCCATAAATCAATGCATTTTGTTTATGGTGTATAGCCTGATTGGTGTTAAGTTCAAATTGCATGTGGTCAGTGATCGCTGTTGTGTATTGAATATTGTCATTAGCAGACATGCAGGCAGACACACAGGTGTCAATAAAACAAGACATTGAGTTTTGTCTGTGACAACGACATATTTATATCACAGTTAGAAATTGTGTCAACGCTAAATAATGACATTGCTTTTAAGTATCGAACTGAGAAAGTGACTCGGTAAGGAGAACGTGTGGTGAAATAGACAAATGAAATTATATAAACACTTAATTTACTGTCATAACATATAAAAAGCTCGCGCCTGTGAGATATCAACAAAACATTAGAAAAATAGCTCACACCAAAGCCTTCACCGAGTATTCACCTGACAACCCGCTTCCAAGTTGCGCGAACCTATTTCGCTGTGCACGTGCTATGAGCGCAGCCCAGCTGTTGAAACCATTTGAATTCCCCCCAAACGCTGGGGGAAAATTAGTGAATAGTTTGAAACGGGTTTTTTCATCGCGTTATTTTTCAACTTCATAAGTTGAATTTGCATTTTTGATGATTTGTTTCGGTAAGTCCATACCGAAAGGTATCAGAATCTGCAAAGTTGTGTTTTACGTTGCATGTGACCTTTAAGGCGAGAAAGCGATGGCCCTAATCAGCCACCATAGTATGCGAGAGGGCGATGGCCCTAATCAGCCACCATATTTGAGGCCCCGCCTTGCATTTTGCTTGTACCTGTCCCTAGCTACTGGATTGTTGTATGAGACAACTACAACGTGGAATGAACTGCACACTGAAGTGCACATGACTCATAACACACATATGTATACGGGTGTCGAGGTGTATATGGTGTATTCCGTTTCGTATTCGTGGGTGGGGCGGGTTTGATTGGATTAAAGGGGTGTTCATTCGTAGCTTACAGCGTGGTATCTGTTTCTCAAAGGATTATATCCAATTATTATAACTCACCTCACCCTCATCCGCAGCCAATCCCAATCCTCACCCTCACGCCCCCAGCCTCACTCTCAACACATCATCAAACCCAACCTTCATCCCCATTAAGGGCGGTGGAGTAGCCTAGTTGTAAAGGCGTTCGCTCGTCCCGTTGAAGACCCGGGTTCGATTCCATACATCGGTACAATGTGTGAACCCACTTACATTCTGGTGTCCCCCACCGTGATATTGCTGGAATGTTGCTAAAGGCGGCATCACTCATTCCATATACTCATCCCCATCCTCACTCTCCCGTCCACAAACTCACGCTCACTCCCATCCTAAATCCCAACCTTACCTCATCCTCGCCCTTATCCACAACTTCACCTCACCCCCAACCTCACGCTTATCCACAACCTCACCTCATCCACAACCTCACCTTGCCTTAACCTCAACCTCACTCCCATACCTAACCTCACCCTCACCCCGTTTTGAGTAAGTTTAGTTTTACGCCACTTTTAGCAGTATTCCAGCAATATCACGGCGGGGGACACCCACTGTGCCCATGTGGTGAATCGAGTGAATGAGTGAGTTTAGTTATGCGCCGCAATATTCCAGTTATATGGCGGCGGTCTGTAAATAATCGAGTCTGGACCAGACAATCCAGTGATCAAGAGCATGAGCATCGATCTGAGCAACTGGTAACCGATGGCATGTGTCAACCAAACCAGCGAGCCTGGCCACCCGATCCCGTTAGTTGCCTCTTACGACAAGCATGGGTTACTGAAGATCAATTCTAACCCGGACCTTCACGGGTCTGTGGGGAATCGAACCCAGGTCTTCAGCGTGACGAGTGATTGAATGAGTGAGTTTAGTTATGCGCCGCAATATTCGAGTTATATGGCGGCGGTCTGTAAATAATCGAGTCTGGACTAAACAATCCAGTGATCAACAGCATGAGCATCGATCTGCGCAATTGGGAA